AAGAAAGGACTTTTCACAAGGAATACACATGTGAAATATGAAAGTCATAGCTCCACTAAATCAAAAGTTATGGGCAAGGTTAAAGTTTTTGTGACAGACGGACAGACTGACAGAGAGCTAGTCTTTCTATCTTTTGTGATGTTCCCTTATTCTCTAGGTCCCAAAAATCACTTCTATAAAAATGAAATCAAGATAAATATGTATCTTGTGACTGGACAGCTTATATGGAAACATATGGAGATAACAAACAGTTTTATGTGTATGTTAAAATTAGCCTGAGCGCAGCATAGATAGATCAAAAGCGTGGTGTAACTTAATTTGTACGGAAAATGTTAACTATGACATCACGCAAATGTACAAATTCTTAAATAACGTATAGCGAGTTTTCTGGCGGGTGTAAATTTTGGTGTTTTGTCTACTCTAAGGTTTGCCAATAATTTAGGCGTAATTTATTTTAGCGGAAGCAGGTTTTTAGCTCTCTGAAGATGGACACTAATAAGAGTACTAACTATTGTACCAATTAAAATTTTAGCGGACTATCATCAAAACGCCAAAATAAGCCAAAATTAGCATCCCGCTAAAATAAGCCGCTATACGGTATATCACAAGATGAAATGATTCTTTTATTTAAACCATGCAGATAATAAATATACATTAAAACTAACTTAAATATTCTACTGTGTTGTTCGATTAAACTCAACAATATGAACCAGTCACTGATCGCTAAAAACCAGTGGATCTGACGTCATTACGTTGCATTACATCATGACATATTTAGTCTGCATGCAGTGAGAGGAAGATTTAAAAACAGTAATTTGTCTGCATTGTCTAAATTGATCTGTTGTTAAGGCTTACACTCAAAAGGATCATATTAAGATTTTATAGGATCGCAGCATTTTTCACAAACTTCAATAAGTTTTTTTTTAATTAAAAACTTTAATTTGAATTCTGATTATAACTTGGTTCTGCCTTTGCACTACTGACCTCAATAGTGCAGGAATAACAGCTGAATTCACGTGACTGTCATATCACGTACCGAGACTTATTAAATATCTAAATATCGTCTTCATATATGCAGATAATTGTCATAATTATATTCGGATGTGTCAGATATTAGAAAAATTCTAAAAAGAAATATCACGATTAAGAAAGGATGGACAATCAACCATATATTCCGAATACCCGATTTAATTCCTGAAAAGAATATATGTTATTTTTTTTGCACAAAAATTATTTATAAAAAATAAAGTTTATAATATTAACGAAATTTATAACATTTTATTTCAATATATGTACTTGATAATAAAAACAAAGGATGGATGCACTCATCAACATAACATATTTTATTTTTAGATCAAGAGCCCTATATACATGTCCTTATGAGTGTGTGTGTGTGTGTGTGTGTGTGTGTGTGTGTGTGTGTGTGTGTGTGTGTGTGTGTGTGTGTGTTTGAGAGAGAGAGAGAGAGAGAGAGAGAGAGAGAGAGCAAAAGAGAGAAAATGTTTTGCAGTAAGTAGTTTGAATTATATTATCAGATTACCAGAGAGCCTTAGAACATGCTAAATTATCCAAGAACATTAACGCACAAAATATATATTCTACTGCAATAAAGATAAAATATTTTAAGTTTTTGCAACTTATTCTAAAACAAAATGAATAGGTCAATCTGATTTATCAAGTTATATTTTCATTTCTATTTTTTTTCTCTGTGATAACTCTTTGAAAGTTAAGGGAGTTTATTTCTTGATAGTTCTACCGGAATGTAAATTAAGGAGGTGGATATGTCAAGAGCTAAGGAGGCCCAATATGCATGCAAATCATGTGCGCTTCTGTCTCTGTGTCTGATGCTAAGGAGGCCAAATATGCATGTAAATCTCGTGCTGTTGCCTTTGTGTTTGACGTCAGTGGGCGAGGACTATTGAAATTGGCATGAGAGTCCTCGTGTAATTTAAATCGATCAGTCTACAATTTTAAAGTCAAAATCTACAATTTTATTTCACAATAAAATGGAAATATAAGGAATCACTGTCAAGTTAGTAAAGTATGCCAGGGACATCAACGATAGTGGAAAACATGGGATAATGTTTCCCACTATCGTTGATGCCCTGGCATACTACATTAACTAGACAGTTTTTATTGAATACAGTCCTACCTACTTGTAAAATACAAACTGTAAAGAAACTTAAGTTAGTCATAATGTTGCTTATAATGGATTTTTTTTTTATAATTTCTAAATCATACAATGAAAAGATTTTTACAAAATTATGTACTACATTTGTCTATCAATAACTTTTGTAAATTACACGGTTGTGCAGACGTCTTTCTACATGTAAAGCAGTTAATGTTGTGACATGTATTTTTTTCGTCCCAGTATGAGTAATGTGTTATGAAAAAGCCGTTGTTATAGCAAGGTGCAGAAATTAGATAATGAGCTATCTTGTTGTGAAAAACAATAAATATATGATAAAATCTATGTAAAAAATGGTGAATCTGCATCTGCATATGGTTAATTAAATATATATGTACAAAAATGTTTCCTTCTATAAATAAAATCAGCTTACTATAAATTGCAGTAATCAACGGTTCATTTTTCATAGCTGTAGATATAACAAAACATATATATATATATATATATATATATATATAATATTACAGTATATATACAAGAACATGGTCCCTGCAATTCTTCAATCTCTTTAGATAACAAAAATATATCAAAATTTGGAAATAATGAGTTCTTTGGTGTTTCTATCATATTTGGAAATGCAGATGAGGGGGCACGCCATTGCTCCCTACTGGTCACACCCTGCACTGTATCATGTCTGTACTCCTTAGGTACAAGTTCCACTCTGCTTTGACTAATTTCCCTTTCTCTCATTCTTTTCCTGTAATAATTAAAGCATCAACAGTCATTTATCTTATGAAGGTAAACATTAAACTAAGTTCAGTTCATCTAAAATGTCATTTTTTTTAACTCTTCTATGTTTTCTATTTATATTAACATCTAAAAATAAAAATGTCCTCTATAGGTTGCCAAAGTTCAACTTAAAGAACAATAAGTTATAATGGTAATAGAATAGGCAATTGGTAATTTTCTTAATACATAATTATAAAGACGGAAATATGCCAACATGAGACAAGCTCTCAATACATATGTATACACATGGCTCACAATTCGTGAGGCTATAATAAATTAGGGCCATGAGTAGTTCAAGATTAATCATGGGGCATGTTATTTTGAGCAAAATCTATATATGTAATGAATATTTAAACCACAGTTAAGAATAAAACATTTGATATGTCATATAACGTACTGTCTCTGAAAAAATATTAGGCCTTTAAAAAGTAAAATATCAACTTTCAACTGTTCCATTTATCCTTTCCCAAGAAATATTGTCTAGAATAAAAAAAATCTTTTCTGTACTGTATTTACAAAAAAAAGATGAATGTTTTCTTTTATATTTATCAACATTGGATCCTAATAAGAAAACAAGGTAAGATAGAGTCCAGTACAACTACCAGAATCACTTCAAGAGATCGAGAAGTTTTAGAGATCGGAGTTCGAGCTCTCGATAGTCACCTGTACATCAGATATTGAGCATCGTTGAGGTCATTGTTATTTGGGAACAGAGTGTGTCAATAAAGAAATAAACAAAACGTCTGTGAGCTTCGGACAGCCAAATTAAAAGGAAGTAGATATCAGTTCTGTAGAAAAATGAATTCTATAATATGTCATTCATGCTAAAGTGTGCTCAGATTATAAGCATCTGCGATTATGGAGGGATTCATAAGAAACCTGTGACGATTTCAATTTCCCATAATAAATAGCATATTGATACATAACATTAAGTTTTGTACGGACATAAATATACATTACACACACAAACACACAAGAAAAATATCGTAAACATTTTAAAATAAAGAATGATGCTAGTTCGTGTATTTTACAGATTATTATTATTATGAAGAAAATATGTTTTCGTCACTATTATAGGTACTTACCGAATATATATAACCGTGATGGTGCTGGCGAGACCAATAAGACAACAAATGAGAACAATTACTACAACTATTACCACCGTGTATCTTCTCTCTAAATCTGTAAAGGAAGGATATTTATTGGGAGTGATTTATCATGATACATATAAAGAATACATACATGCATTAACATTCAAGAATTTTTTCCGGTAATACAAGGTGTGTGATCCTATAACAGTGAGGTTTTATCCTAGATGACTACATAGACTAGAAACAAGTTTCACAAAAGACACTGTAGTTAACAGAATGACAATATTAAGCATTAAAGTTGTAAACTATTCAATTAAAAAAGAAAAAAATAAGGAATCAATTTATTTTCATTTTTTTAAGTACTGCAAAAACCAATTACATGTTTGTTATAAGCTGCAATGATCCAATCTTTTAAATTTGTTTTCTCAAAAATAAATGACAAAGCATCTTTGGTTAGCGAAAACAAATATAGAGATTTTAGTATATTAATCCTTAATAAAAATTATTCTTAAATAAAATTGAATGTAAATTTACCCTTATATTTTTTGCGTTGATCATTTTCCTCTGTTGATATTTGTGTTGTCGTTGTTGTTGTTGATGTTGTTGTTGTTGTTGATGTTGTTGTTGGTGTTGTCGTAGATGTTGTCGTAGATGTTGTTGTCGGATATTCACATGATCCGTTTGTTCCTGTAGATATGCAACTAAATTTATGAACCATAATGCCTGAAAACTTTTATTTTTTTTATTCTTTGATACATATTTTATTATTCAAATAAAAGTGGATGAGATTAGGCAGGCAATGCCTTATTTAGCTCCCTCCCTGAAACGTTAATATCTAAAACTTTTTAACTCTCGAAATCCAGAGGTGGAAATCGGCATCAATAATGTGAATAATTGTCTCGTTGTGTGGATATTTCTAAACAAAATTGTTATTAAGACTTAATTAGAAATTTAATCCTGCTGTACCCAAACAGAATCTTTAGGACAGGCGTCTAATGCTGGTAGACAGTACACGTGGTGGGTGCGCAGTTCTTGATCTGAACATCGTACTCTTTAACACAGCAACTAGAGAATCCGGTTTTACAGAGTTTCCTGGAAACAACACCATCAGCTACTTGTGGCAAGGTTCCTGGAATGAAAAGTCGCCTTATATTTAGATTAGAGTTTGATATGTAATCTAACCCAAATCTAGCACTTACATGCATTCTGAAGAAAAAGAATATTACTAAATTTGTTTAGTATACAGTATGACTTTAAGATTAGTTCAGCAAAAATAATTGTATAGGATAAGTAAATGCCCAAAGCTAGCTATACATAATAAAACGATTTGATCAAAAAATTAATTTAAAAACGATAATGTACCATTATACCAGACAGGATAAATAGTTCCACAGCTGCTGAGGGTGGGACACTGATCTAGTATAGGTTCGTCTGACTTGTACCATCCCGGCGTCTTGTATCGATCACATGGGACATGAGATTGTGTCCCGTCATACGGACAGTTCTGGGTTCGTGCATACGGCTCAAAAAGCTCCCCGGCTGCCGTACAGGGATCTGTTAAAAAATATTGACAAGGTATTTGTATTTTTTTATAATTATTCTTTATTATTGAATAAGTTTATTCAGATACATATATTCTGCTTTCTTATAACTAGGACATTGAAATGTATAGAATTTCAAAGTGAATCATACTGCATGTATCTTTTTTATTGTCGAGTTATTACATGTACATGTATTAGGGAGAATTTATTCTATTCTGTAATTAATATTTAGTGGTGCTGAATAATTAAAATCAAAACATACAAGATGAAATTCAAAATAATTAAGTGGCAGTTAAATACTTTTTATCAACACAAAATGTTAGGCACACTAAGACTCCATGGGTATTGTGTTGACTTTAGATTAAATGTAGGAATAATATTAAGTTAGATTGCTGTAAAACGTATTTCATGTTTTAACAACCACTTCTGCCGTTTACTTATAGAACGACTATTGAACATACCTTTTATTCAACAGATTGTAAATACCTGGATTAATGAACATATTAAGGTTTTTAACGAGTTTCCTACCCTGTTTAGACTAACCTCTTCATTTTCCTAAATCACCATGACATGGTTATGAATGTATCACCCCCCCCCCCCCCCCCCCCCACCCGGGCACCAGGCCTCACTTAACCTCCGAATCCGACCAAATAAAAAGAGTACTATGAGCTTTTCACTTTATTTCTTTTAAAGCATTGTCTTTCGTAAATTAGCAAAAAGTCAAAGAAGTTATATATAGCTTTTATTTCAACATGTCAAATTTCCTGTAAAATTGTATTCAGATAAGACACTCCGCTAATTATATAGAAAAAAGACAATACAATTACAAACTTACCAGTCACACCACCGCAGTAATAGGTTGATTCTATCAATGAAAATAATTTTGTTTGAAAGTTTGAACTAGAACATAGACAAAAAGATAATGAATGAGATCTAGGAATTATGGATATTTTGTGCATTGGACCATTTTGTCATCTCCATTTTGATGTGTTATTTCCAAAAACAATTGCTTTCTCCATGAATAAATTAAAATCTAATAAGATTAATGATATCAAGAAGTTTGAATAAAAGAGTCAGTCAATTTTATTAATTTTTTTTCGCTGAATAAAAATAGGAATTTAAATATACATACCTACATGAATCTCTGAATTTAAAATGAAGACGGAAAATATTGACAGGAAAGAAAACTTGATCTGCTGCAAAATGATAAAAGTAAGATATAATTACAAATGTTTCAGGTTTCAATTAATATTTAAAAATGAGAGAGGTAAAATTGAATCAATAAACAACTTATGATCATTAAAACAGTAAAAAAAAAACAAAAATAAATCAACATTCAATGTTTTTACCTTCAAAATTCAATAATCGAAATGTATTCAAGGACATAAACCAATAATTGAATACTTGCCAGCAATACATAACGTTTGCATCATATCGATTGCACTTTAAAAAACAGTCGAGTCAATTCAAAAGGCAAATCAATGCAGGAAAAACCAAAAACATGAAATATTGATCCATTCAATGCTGGTCATACAAAACTTTGTCTTTTGCATTATTTGATTTCTTTTCGGGAACAAAAACACATAAAGTTATCACGATTTAAGTGCAGACTTTCAATTCAATGAAAAATAAACTACCTGCTGTTGTTGGGCGAAGGACTCGGCATACAATATTTTAAAATTATTTTTGTATTGGAAAAGGCAATTTGGCATTTTCTTACTTGTACATGTATTATGATCCATTTCTATGTCTGATGATTTAACCCCTTTGTTTGAATTATATTTATTTTCTGAAACAATGACATGTAAATATTATTTTTAAAATTTTATATTTTTGAATTTAAGATATAATTATGAATAAACAAACATACACACATCACAGTGGCGGATCCAGAAATATTCAAAAGGTGGGGTGGGGGCGACCAGAGTTTGAGGTCAGGGTAGGGGGCCCAAAAAATATTGATTTATTAAAATATGTGTATTTTGGGGGACACGAAAGGGGGGGGGCTAGCCCCCCCCCCCCTCTAAAATCCGCGAGTGCATCATTTCGCATTTCACAGGCATAACCTGTAAGTATGTAGACACACAAACACATGGAAAAATACATACAGCTACCTGTATGTATACCAGGAAGTAGATAGAGACAGAAAAAAACAACAGAAATGTAATCAGGATCAGAGTTTGCTACAAAGAAGTCCTAACCCACCTTCATTTTGTTTTATTCCTCACATCGTAGATAAATAGGAGTCTAGTCTTCCTGTTTTTATTCCCCCGAGATCAGATTCCATGTGTATCGGATATAAATAAACAACACTCGTATCGCACATATCGGACCTGCGCAGACTGGAAAACTATAAATATAAAGGGTTTCAAGCCAAGGCATTTAAAACCCAGTTATGGATAAAGGACGTTCAATCGAATCGATGAATGTAACAGCGTTTTATGCTTTTGGAATGAATACACAAACAACAATGGTGTCCATGGTATCAATCGATCATTACGGAATAAGGAAGTGAAATACAGTTTCGTTGAATTTAAAATCCAGCACACAGCCATGCATGCACCATGTGTACGTACTGAACTGAAAAATACGAGAATCGGGGATTTCCCGTTCCTGAGTTGAGCAATAAACAGATGGGTATTTAAAAAAAATCAATATGCAGCATACACAAATATTGTGTCTATTTTCGGCGAATCTGTCTGAGTCATTAAATGACAAATTAATTAAAGGTCTGGGCAGTGTTAACACATATGGCGAGTAAAATGTTTCAATCTCCGTGCTTTTGTAAAAGTTGATTGAACAAAAACTTCTGAGAAAAAAATTGAAATACACACATGTTTTGAAATGTTTTGTTTCCCTCCCATTTTCAATGAAATATCTTTTTTCGATATGATTGCGCCCAGTATGACAAAAGGGCCTTATGGCATTTTTGCTAAAACAGAGAAATAACGTCACAAAGATATGACGTTGCAGACGGTGAACTTGACGCAGATTTCTAAGGTAAGATATTTAAATGACTGAAGAATTAATTTTTTGGAGCTAGATCCATTATGACGTCATAATCAATTTAAACTTTCTTTTTCCCGTACTCTAGGGCTTTAGCAGAATTATGTAGAAAATAGGGTATTTTCATGACATTCAATTTGAAAACATATGAAAAGTAAACCGGATACCTATATTAAATTTGAGATTGTTTAAAGAAGAGGCCATGAACATACTAATTACCGTTTTCTGAGAGACTGTAGGCAATCTGGATACTTATTCTTTGTCAAATAAGAAAAAAAACTCCCACATTCATGACTGATTTTCTTAATTTTACCTTAAAAATGACAGTTTTTCATATTGTTTACCTACAAATTATGCCTCGAAACACCTTATTTGACCAAGCTTAAGTTCTTAAGTTCTAAAGCATCAATAAAGGAATTTATTTCTCAAATTTGATAAATCTGTAGGCACCTTTCATTTACTAGATATTGATCTTAAATATAAATATAACTCGGTAATGAAGTATCACAAATACAAATTACACAAGTATAACAAATATTTTATTTTGTTATCAAAAAGCAAGAGAAGAGAACATATTATTTTTTCAAAAGGCAAATTTATCATAATAAATTATTGTCAATTTAAAGTTCTGATTTTTCTCCTTACAATAATAGATCTATAGGTTTTGATAACCTTAATGAGACTGAGTCTAATAATTTCTGCCATAGGGATTTGATGATTTTTTTTATAATTAATTTTTCTATTTTTTTTTTATATGTATTGTTTTAAGATTTTAAAAATCGAATATTAACCATCCCGATTTCTAGGGAGGGGGATGGGCATCTCAAAAGTTTACTTTTAGACCCTATCGGAATTTGTTGGAAAATTAAGCGCCAAATAGTAACATTTTTTCAATATTTTTTGTTAAGGTCCTAGAGATTTCTTTTTAATTCAAATAGATAAAAGTTGTTGCAAAAAGTCACCAAATTGTGAAATTTCGAAAAAGTTCACCATCTTGGTTGGTCTGGGCATTAATTACTTAAGTTTATTTTTTTCACAGCTCAATACCTCTACTATTGCCAATTGAGGTTGAACAATGTTATAACGTCGAACCTGTAAAATTTGAATGTTCAAAGTTTTGAAATGGCTGAGAAATCGACGTTTGAATATATTAAGAGGTATCATTCGGAAAAGGGACGTTTTCGGAAAAGGCGGAGCAGAGAGCGGTGATAAAATTCTCCGTAAACATCGGAAAAACACAAACAAAGACCTGTGAATTCTGTAAACATTCGGAAAAACAAAGAAAAAAGGAAAACTGTAAAATTGAACAGACTGGACTTTTAAATTTTTTTTCCCAAATTGTTTTATATTATAGCTTTTTTGCATGAAATAATTTAATAACGAATTTCATTTTTTTTTTAATAATATACATGCAAAGTATCTAGTATCATGAATAATCATTAAAAAAATAAAACTTTAAAAATGTTGTTTTGTTGTTCTGTTGTTGCACAAACAACACTCAATTTAGAGAAATTAAAACAAGCAAAAACATACAATAAAAAAAAAAATGTACAACTAAATGAGCCTTCATGGTCAAGTTAATCTGATGAGAGATGGCGAGAAAGAGAGGGAGGATGTGGGTGGATAAAAATATTTTTATTGAATCTATGTAGTTCTATATAGTCTATATAGTTCTCTAAACTACATGTATGGCTATATATTTTCAAGATCTCCCAAATTTGAAATAGCATGTAACTCTTTGGTACTTACTTGTTTTTTTTTTGTTTTTTTTTTACAAAGAGTTCAAATGTTTTAAGCATTTGTAAATTAACCCCTAAAGCCACAAAGAACTTTGTCTTTCACAAAAGCTCGATCAGCATTGAATGTCTTTGGCAACAATTTATCATGCTAAAAACCCAATTAATCACCACTGGACTCAACTCATTGCTGTTAACAGTGTGGAATATATTGTTTAACCTCTTATCAAATTACGGATAAATATTGTTACATATATACACATGTTATGATTTTATTTGTTTGATTGATAAAAATATCCTTTTAGGTTAAGATAGGGTTTTATTATTACATGTAAATGCTGACAAAAAAATTAGATGATTTTAATACACGACATAAAACCGCAACAATATGCTTGCATTTTGTTTTATTTTGGCCACAGTGCAGGGAATGCGGGTGGGGTTGTCCGTTTATATTTCCGTAACATGTAAGGCTTTACAAGGCTTAGCATATCCAAGCTTCTGGCATGGGACCGAAAAGGAATTCATACTCTGTAAAACTCAGTTCATAACATAAAATTTAGAAAACAAAATCATTAGAATGAAGGTAATTTTTTACAATTCAGTCATAAAAAAATATGATGAATTTTCTAAGATGCTTACATCCCTACAAAAATCTGACATTTCAAAACTCAGCCAGTTCAGATACAATTGTCAGGAAATATATTATACAAAACAGTCATATTTAACTGACTGTATATTTAGGCATGAACAATTACCGGTATATGTTATTATTTTTAACCCACACCTACCTCAACAAAATCTATACATTAAACTGCATGATTCATTTTCAGTGGACCTTCAGATATCCAGGCCCCAGATATACGGATGCTTTGGGTATCTGGACGATTTCGTAGCAGCATGGCTCGGCTGGAAACCACCAGTGACCGATCAAATGTCTCAGCTTACAGTCCAGACGAAAGTCCCCTGAATGGAAATGTTGCTAGATTCTCCACACTGCCAAACATGAAGGCTAAAGGAAAGAAAATTTCTAAACAGGCAAGTGGTTTGTAGCTTAAAATAAATTTTCTCCTGTCATGAAGAAGATATTTGGGTCATTGTCAAAATTGCATGCTCTTAATTCATCACTAGTCACAGAAAAAAGGAGACAGGTATACCCTCACACAGACACACACAGACTTGGTTGAAGGTAAATGTCAAGGCTATGAATATGACTATTACTCATTCATATGTTTTCCCACTATGTATTTATATCTGCTGGAGGGATATTCAGAATAGTGCCATAAAATGTCTGTTTTTAATGCATATAAAAGAATTCCCACTATGTTTATGTCAGAATATATTCAAATAGTGTCACTAATGCTTTATTTAAAAGCATATAAAATTATGTCATAGTTATCCTGTTGGGATCAAAGGCAAGTTAAAAAAAAATAACGTGTAATTCAATTTTGGGTTTAAATAAGGTGCAAATCAGCATTATGATGATCTTGTATGGTGTCTGTCTGTTCTGTCAATTTTGCATTTGGTCATTTTCTGAACATCATATTGTAACATACAGTGTGTATCTTTTATTATTTAGTCCTGGATTGATTAAAAAGACATAAAAACAATTGCTTGGCATTAAAATAGTCTTCAGTTAATTTTAATTTTAAATTTATTGTTTGGCTTTTGCAGGTTGCTGAGTTTGAGCATAGGATTGGTGAACTGCAAGGGCAGATCAACGAGAAGGAATCCATGTCACTTTATTGTGCTAACAAGCTGGATGTGCACATCAGTAAGTAGATAAAAATGATAAGTCCAAGTTGGTAACAATACAACATAATACATGTAGTGACGATAATACCCTCCTTCTCCCCACAGATGACATGTCCCCTCAGCCATATATTATTGATGTAGATGAAATTGTCTAAGGAGGAGGGGTTATAGGTTTTAGGAAAAGGGATGCACTTTTGTAATGTTTAAATTTGAATAGACATTGCCTTGAAAAAAATATTGTTTGTGTCATTGATTAAATGTGGCGAAATTTCATTCCCATGTTTTTATACAACTTTATATATGGTACTACCCTATTTTAAATGTGCCATATAGGATTTTTGGGAGGGTGTAATACCTTTGAAGACAGTTCTAAATACTAATCTTATGCCATAATGGAAACTGCACCAGATAAAATATTGTTCATTGCTTAGAAAGAAAATTCAGTGCACTTTCAGTGTGAGCAGTGTGAGATTTTGCAGCAGTCTTTTGAGAATGAGGATGAAATATTACTGGCAATAGCTGGAATAAAACAGGTCTGAGATCTTTATTGGACTTGGTATTTGTATGTTTTTGCTATACTGTCTTGTGTGTATTCAACATTTTCATATCAGGAGTAAGCAGATTTGAATAATTAAGAGCAAATGATTAAGTAGTCAATATTATTGACCTCTCTTGTATAAGGTATGCTGTATAGATTGAAGACTGGGTATAATATCTTTGGCTTCTCGGTCTCATCTTTTATGTTTAAATGATTAATTTTCCCTTAATTTTTAAGCTAATATGAATATACAGAAAATGTTTTCCTCCGTAACTAGGTCAGAGATGTCTTGAAAGGAACACTCAGATTCTCCCAAATGGAGGAAGAAGACATGAAATCCCAAGATAACCACCACGAGACAGAAAATAACTCCTCCTCCGAGACAACTCAGCAAGAGCCGCGAGATAGGCATAGGATGGGATCTAACGCAAAAAAGGGTGGGGTCTTCTACATGAGCAGTGAAGAAAATTCAGAAAATGCTGAGTCCCCTTCTGAGGGCCCCATTCCTGTAGTGACCCCTCGGAAGGGGTCAATCAGGAAAGAGGCTCAGATTGCCAAGGAAGACAAGAGAGAATTTGAACTGAGTGACTGTGTTCCGAGTGGAGGGAGAAAGACCGGAGCAGGTGGAATGAAGTCTGCTGTTGATGTCACAGAAAAAACTCACCCATTAGAGAGTAGTCCAAACCCCCTATATAATTATAGATGTTCAGTAGATTCTGTTTGATATCTAGCAGTAAATATTGTCAAAAGAAGAGATTTCTCTGTATAACTGTAAATGTTTGGTAAATTCTGTGCAATTAAATTAGATATTATCATTAGAAAGCTAACTGCTTAAGTTATTTGAATGATAAATCAAATCTTCAATGGCAAATTTTTTTTTCAAACAATACATGTTGTTAGATTAGACACACTCATAATGTTTTCTGTAATCCTCCATAATTTAGGCTAGAGGACATTCCATACATCTGAAGTCCATGTACATGTAGTTTTCCCAGAGGGCCATGTTCTGTTTTCTCTTATTAGTAATCAGTGGATAAATGAATGTTTAAAATTAATTTGAAAAATACGAAAGTCAGGTCACAGTCACATGTACATATTTGTAAATAATTTTCTGTCAGTATTTATTTGAATTTCCCACCACACAGCTTACAGACAAGTTTTCCAGTGTATATCCCTCAGACAATCAGACTGATGCAAAAAGAATTGTTTACACAAAATATTTCACAGAAATACATTCATCAATTTCCTTTTTCATTTTATTACGGGTTACAATAATTTCAGCTTGGGTCAGAAATCTTGCACTGTTCATACATGTTGTCTTGCATTGTACATGGCTTAAATGATTTAACAATGTCTGTTTTGTGATATATATACATTTAGTGAGTTGACATTTTTCTAATTTTTTTAAGGATTAATCCCCTTCTCTGGTCATTGACTGCTGACAATGTGATTTCAATTTAATTATTATGTTGAGTGCTTCAACTTTTACTCATTAATTTAAGGCATCGTGAATGGTCAGATAGATGCATGGCAATTATATAAAAAATTAGAGAGCATTAAATATACAGTAGGATTTCAGTATCTTGAAACATGGATATGTCAAAGTTAAGTCACAACCACTTTACGAATGTAAACCTTAGTTTCTCATTCAGTTTTGAAGTTTTTCTGCACAGACTCATCCAATTAAAGATCACAAAGTAATTAACCTACATAACTAACATGTGTAATATTCCAACATAATACCATTGAGAAATATTGTGAATCCAATCCATTGATGGTTTTGAAATTTTTACAGTTTGTTTGAACATTCAAATGCACAACTTAAATTTTTCTCCCCCCCAAAAAATCTAAAATTTCTAAGGACTGAGACTTTTTCTGTAATGACACATACGATACCTCCACCCAGCCCTAAACAAATTTTAATTATTGAAGTAATTGTTGAAGTTTTAGAGTCTATTATTTACCTTAGTTATATCATCTGTTTAGATTTTTGTTTTCTCAGGACAATATTTTTTTTGTTGGATGGTATTTTGGGTAATTTCACACACTAATACTTCGGTGCTGATAGTTAATATAGACGTGTCTTCCTGTCTAGTTGATTGTAATACATTCTGTTTTACTCTGTTAGTATGCTATTGATACAAACAAATAGATTTAGACATAATAAGAAGCAATTTGAAATCTTACTTTATGCTCTGGTGATATTTTACAAACCTGTACATAATAAGACTGACAGTTTGTAATCACTATGTGTTCAGCATGGATGCTTGATTTTATCGGTATATTGCAAAAAACGTATTTTGATACAGAGACTGAAATATTGGAATTTAACACATGATTACAAATAAAAGAAAGAATTGATTTAATAAACAAAACTTTTGAATTACAACTACTGGACAAATTAATAATGTAGAAAATGTACCAGGTATTGTAAAACAGTAAATCAATGGCACCCTACCATTCAAACATGCTTTTATAATATACAAATAAAATGAAAATGTGAAGTAATGTTTTCTTACCATTTATGATAAAATCTCTAAATTTATTTATGTATTTCTAAGTCTGTGATTCTGAGATGATCAAGAAAAAATTGTGAATGTTCCTCATGTATGTGATATAAAACACCAATTTTTGTTCAAACCACAATTAGTAATAATACATCAGTGAGTCTATGAATGAAATAACATTGCTGCAGAATTAGTATATAACGTTCTGAAATTTAGAATGAAATTTTAAGGCAGTATGAAAACTTTTCTGTGAAATTATACATTCCTATGTGCAATATATTATTGTTTAAAGATTAAACTATAATGAAATAAAAAACATAGTATTCAGTTGTTTTTGTTAGGTAGAATAGAAACTGGTACTTGCATTGCTATTTTCATTGTGTCTGTGTGTAAGTCACTTAGCATTGTGGCCTGTATCTGCCACCAGTCAAGTCATTTATCTACATGGAACCATTATAGGGCAAGAAAAGTTCTGAATGAAACATTAAAGCTGAACACAACTCGTAAATAGACATACACCATTTTCGATATTACTATACATGATATCAGCACCAGGGAATACTCTTCTGAATTGTTATGATGATCAGCTTGGAATGATGACACGTGTTCAAGGTGGTTATCTTGCATTACCTGTTTAAATTTCATTGGAGCCACTTGTTTTTGTGTTTGTTTGTATACTGCACTGGCCTGAGTAACCATCGTAAGTTTCTTATGATATCTTACTTTCCTTCGTTAGAAGTACAGGGGTATACAGTTATTTTTTGTCGCTACTGAGTGCTGTAGCTTACGTCCATCTACACACGGACAAACATTTTAAAGCTCACCTTCAAGAAGTCAAGGTGAGCCTATATTGTAGTTGATCTACTGGCTAGATGTACAAGTAAATATTTTAGAAGCAAGTACATAGCTACAGTATAAGCCCTATGTTGACAAAACTTGCACGGGTAATGCATTTTGTGCTACTCATTATCAAATTTACTTGGGATGCTGGATCCAACTGTGATCAGCTCAAAGTTTTTGAAGCATATTTATTCTCACTAAAGAAGTCCTTTGGTGTCCAATGCATCAAGGGATGCATACTACTAAACATGCTTTGCATCTTTGATCTGAACTACATTTCTATATGCGAGACCAAGTTAATGTTTAAGGAGCAGGTCCATCCATACAAAGCTAGCATAAAGGGAGAGAGGAAACGTGTACTGGACCAGACACACATTTTAACCTGGGCCCCCAGAATCTCATGTCAGGTGCTCTACCAACTGAGCTTTCTGGTCACCAGCGATGGATTGCCTCTGAAGACACCAAATTGAATCAAGCCTCTTCCCTGGCAGGTATTTTACCTGTCACTTCAAGGCATAGCTCAGCACCAAATGTAACAGGAGAAAAATGTAAGAACCAGACTGGGAATCTCCAGTCAGGTGCTTTACCTACTGAGTTGTCTGGCAACCTGCAATCAAACACATCTCACCAATAGATGTACCCAGCAAACCTTGCATCTGAATATGGTCATGAATAATTGACTTTCATTCTTTCATTCTTCAAAGTTTTGAATCGTCATTGATATACGACACATATTAACTGCTCATAAATTTCTGACCATGAATATCTCCAAACACATTGCTAATTACATACAGAATCATGAACATCAGAATCTTGAATACCATGAATATGTTGACCCCAATAATATTTCCTTTTAGTGCCTTCAACCGCCTTATCTCGAACCCATATAGCTCTCAACAATCTTGATGTTCAAGATGAGAATTTTAAAACTGTAAATGTATAATTTAACCTCATTAATAAGAAAGAAAATTTTTACAAGTATTGTTTTATTTAAAACAAAAAGATTGGCATCAAAAAATGTATAAAATTTTTGTACATAGGAAATCTCCTAATTTTTCAAAGGATAATTCATAATTTATTTCACAGTTCTTTGTTTTAAACTCAAAATATCTTCATAGAATACATATGATACTAATTTACAACAACGTGAATGATGATGTCCTAGATTTGTTGGTTGATGTTCAATAGAGTGTTTTCTTAATTCGTCAGTCAGCAGCAATCATGAACCCCTGTAATAAAATCCATAAATTTAATGTTGAGGCTACATATATACATGAGTATTAAAGATAATGTATTAAATGGAATCCCCTCACATACATTGTCCATTCATATATGAAACAGTATAAATAAATGAGATTTTGTTATGAAAATGATTCATGTTTACTTTTTTTTCAAATAAAAAGTAAATAATATATTACACTTATGTTTATACATCTATTTCAATACTTACACAATGATATTGTTGATGGGAATGTGGATTAATCTGACAAAGAATCCAATGAATCCCATGATTGCAAACCCAATAGCTGTGGCCATTGCAATTTTCTGAAATTCTGTACAATAAGTAAAATAGATGTTACCTTTTGAAAATGTATAAAATTATATGTAAACATACATCTACACAATCTATAGCTATAATCACTTCAGTGAGAAAATTTGATTTCTACTACTGCAATAAAGTTTACCTTTTCTATCAGGCTTTGTACATCTTTTCACCAGTCTAATAGAGTCTTTGGCAAATGTTTTAGCAGGGTCAACAAATTGCATTACTTGATCCATGGCTGAAATGTAGAAAAGATAATCAGAATTTTAGTTTTCGATAAAATAGAATTAATCCCAGGAAGTAATTACACTTCAGGCAATCAAGGTGATAACTTTGCCAGGGGACATACGTATAACATCTTTTTATTCTTACTTATTCTCTCCAAGGGCTACAAAGTACAATTAATGATCAATCTAAATGTTACAAGACTTTGGAAAATAAGTTCACCTGAAATCAAACTAATGTGGAGGAAAAATTGCTATCACATCCATTCACAGTTTCTTATTCTTATTATTTTGACACATAGCAGAAAACCTTAAATCTACTGATATTATAGATTCCAGACCAAACATAAAATTAACATACTATAAATTAAGATAAGTTTATAACAGATATATGTTTTTTAACAGTTAAGCTGTGGAGCACTTATAAATATTACAAGCCATATGTAGTGGCAAGGGGAAATTCATCTTCTTTAAAAAAATATGATTATCTATAAGAAAAAACTTGTATTTCATATCCAGAAATATCACATCTGAATTTCAGTTCAACTATTCAGCCTTTTTAATGAGCCCCCACTTCCATCCCCTCTTTCAGGCTTCTTTTACAGTTATCAATTGATTCAGTTTCAATGATCAGTCGGATAGGCTATCGGGACACTGAAAAAAATGTTCTGTAGAACGATAATTGTCCAGAATGTTATGAAGTTCTACGTGAAGTATTGTTTAAGTAACAAAGTGAAGATAGATGTAAAATATTCCTTAAAATATGGCCATATGACATACCTGTCACGTTTGTGGGTTCTGATTCAAAAGGACTACGTTTACGGAAGTTGTTGGAATATCAAAGAGGGTTACGGAGAGAAGATTATCAAGCAATTTGATTGGATGTTTAGATTCAATGATGCATGACCATATAATAAGTCGTACCTCATTTTATTCGGAACAAAAAAGCCGTATTCTCACCTGAAAGTGGGGAATGTTAATTTTGGTTTATCTGTCAGTCCTTTTAGATCCCTATTGAATTTATGGTCAAAAGATCAAATGTCAAGGTAAAAATATTCAAATATTCCGTCCGTTTTATTTTTTTCCGCGTGATATCTCGATGAAATTAAATTCAATTCATTTATTGACAACACCATCATACATTGGCATATAGTCATGAATACAACAATTAACATACATAAAATAAAATATCAAAGAAAGCATATCAGGTTTGTTGAAGGTTTTCTTTCCTAATTAAAGACAATAATTACTCCTTTTGGAAACCAATATAAAAGCGCCACCTGATTTTGATCAAAGCGGACATAATTTTTAAATGAAAAATTATGAATTTATGTCACAAAACCGAACCCAAATACTGATCAAACCTCTCCCAAAAATTGTTCAAAGCGTACACCTTCTACACCCTGTACAGGGCACGTGTAGGTAATTGCACCGAAAATTCAATATGGGTGACAATTAAATGCCGAGATGGTAAAACTGCAGAATCTCTTTTTCTGTATTTGAGTTTACTGTCAGGTTGAATGTGATAAATTGTTTTTAGTAATTAAGTGCATCGCCTTTTTGTGCATTTTATGGAAAATGACAAACTTCATAATTTGTAAAACAAAAAATAAACAAGTTTGGCAAGTTGGGTGATAAAGTCTCTAGTTATTTTTGACTATGGCGAGATATTTAGTTTTAGGGATAATTATGGGTAGCTAGTAAAATGTTTTATAAAAAAATCTTTGCAAATGGTTCTCAAATCCCTGGTCACGTGGTGATCCTGATTTATTGGGGGGGGGGGGAGGGGG